GGGCACTCCAGGTTCCCTGCAGGTCAGAAACATATGGCTACAGTGGGGAAAACACCGGATAGAATGCCTCCCCGGAAACTACAGCAGATATAGATCAATGAAAAAGGCATAGAAGAAAAGGAAGGGTAAGGAAGAATATAGAAGAAAAGGAGGAGAAAAGGGAAGAGGATAAGATCGGAAAAGAGACAAGGGCACTCCCGGTTTCCTGCGGGTCAGAAACATATGGCTACAGTGGGGAAAACAACTGATAGAATGCCTCCCCGGAAACTACAGCAGATATAGATCAATGAAAAAGACATAGAAGAAAAGGAAGGGTAAGGAACAATATAGAAGAAAAGGAGGAGAAACGGGAAGAGGATAAGGTCGGAAAAGAGACAAGGGCACTCCAGGTTCCCTGCAGGTCAGAAACATATGGCTACAGTGGGGAAAACAACAGATAGAATGCCTCCCGGGAAACTACAGCAGATATAGATCCATGAAAAAGACATAGAAGAAAAGGAAGGGTAAGGAACAATATAGAAGAAAAGGATGAGAAAAAGGGAAGAGGATAAGGTCGGAAAAGAGACAAGGGCACTCCAGGTTCCCTGCGGGTCAGAAACATATGGCTACAGTGGGGAAAACAACGGATAGAATGCCTCCCCGGAAACTACAGCAGATATAGATCAATGAAAAAGACATAGAAGAAAAGGAAGGGTAAGGAACAATATACAAGGAAAGGAGGAGAAAAGGGAAGAGGATAAGATCGGAAAAGAGACAAGGGTTCCGTGCGGGTCAGAAACATATGGCTACAGTGGGGAAAACAGCAGATAGAATGCCTCCCCGGAAACTACAGCAGATATAGATCAATGAAAAAGACAGAAGACAAGGAAGAGTAATTAAGGAACAATGAAAAAGAAAAGGAGGAGGAAAGGGAAGAGGATAAGATCGGAAAAGCGACAGGGGCACTCCAGGTTCCCTGTGGGTCAGAAACATATGGCTACAGCGGGGAAAACAACAGATAGAATGCCTCCCCGGAAACTACAGCAGATATAGATCAATGAAAAAGGCATAGAAGAAAAGGAAGGGTAAGTAACAATATAGAAGAAAAGGAGGAGAAAAGGGAAGAGGATAAGATCGGAAAAGAGACAAGGGCACTCCAGGCTCCCTGCGGGTCAGAAACATATGGCTACAGCAGGGAAAACAACAGATAGAATGCCTCCCCGGAAACTACAGCAGATATAGATCAATGAAAAAGACATAGAAGAAAAGGAAGGGTAAGGAACAATATAGAAGAAAAGCAGGAGAAAAGGGAAGAGGATAAGGTCGGAAAAGAGACAAGGGCACTCCAGGTTCCCTGCGGGTCAGAAACATATGGCTACAGTGGGGAAAACAACAGATAGAATGCCTCCCCGGAAATTACAGCAGATATAGATCAATGAAAAAGACATAGAAGAAAAGGAAGGGTAAGGAACAATATAGAAGAAAAGGAGGAGAAAAGGAAAGAGGATAAGGTCGGAAAAGAGACAAGGGCATTCCAGGTTCCCTGCGGGTAAGAAACATCGTGCTACAGTGGGGAAAACAACAGATAGAATGCCTTTGCGGAAACTACAGCAGATATAGATCAATGAAAAAGACATAGAAGAAAAGGAAAGGTAAGGAACAATATAGAAGAAAAGGAGGAGAAAAGGGAAGAGGATAAGATCGGAAAAGAGACAAGGGCACTCCAGGTTCCCTGCGGGTCAGAAACATATGGCTACAGTGCGGAAAACAACAGATAGAATGCCTCCCCGGAAACAAGAGCAGATATAGATCAATGAAAAAGACATAGAAGAAAAGGAAGGGTAAGGAACAATATAGCAGAAAAGGAGGAGAAAAGGGAAGAGGAAAAGATCGGAAAAGAGACAAGGGCACTCCAGGTTCCCTGCGGGTCAGAAACATCTGGCTACAGTGGGGAAAACAACAGATAGAATGCCTCCCCGGAAACTACAGCAGGTATAGATCAATGAAAAAGACATAGAAGAAAAGGAAGGGTAAGGAACAATATAGAAGAAAAGGAGGAGAAAAGGGAAGAGGATAAGGTCGGAAAAGAGACAAGGGCACTCCAGGTTCCCTGCGGGTCAGAAACATATGGCTACAGCAGGGAAAACAACAGATAGAATGCCTCCCCGGAAACTACAGCAGATATAGATCAATGAAAAAGACATAGAAGAAAAGGAATGGTAAGGAAAAAATATATAGAAGAAAAGGAGGAGAAAAGGGAAGAGGATAAGGTCGGAAAAGAGACAAGGGCACTCCAGGTTCCCTGCGGGTCAGAAACATATGGCTACAGTGCGGAAAGCAACAGATAGAATGCCTCCCCGGAAACTACAGCAGATATAGATCAATGAAAAAGACATAGAAGAAAAGGAAGGGTAAGGAACAATATAGAAGAAAGGAGGAGAAAAGGGAAGAGGATAAGGTCGGAAAAGAGACAAGGGCACTCCAGGTTCCCTGCGGGTCAGAAACATATGGCTACAGTGGCGAAAACAACAGATAGAATGCCTCCCCGGAAACTACAGCAGATATAGATCAATGAAAAAGACATAGAAGAAAAGGAAGGGTAAGTAACAATATACAAGAAAAGGAGGAGAAAAGGGAAGAGGATAAGGTCGGAAAAGAGACAAGGGCACTCCAGGTTCCCTGCGGGTCAAAAACATATGGCTACAGTGGCGAAAACAACCGATAGAATGCCTCCCTGGAAACTACAGCAGATATAGATCAATGAAAAAGACATAGAAGAAAAGGAAGGGTAAGGAACAATATAGAAGAGAAGGAGGAGAAAAGGGAAGAGATAAGATCGGAAAAGAGACAAGGGCACTCAAGGTTCCCTGCGGGTCAGAAACATATGGCTACAGTGGCGAAAACAACAGATAGAATGCCTCCCCGGAAACTACAGCAGATATAGATCAATGAAAAAGACATAGAAGAAAAGGAAGGGTAAGGAACAATATAGAAGAAAAGGACGAGAAAAGGGAAGAGGATAAGGTCGGAAAAGAGACAAGGGCATGACAAGGGCATTCCAGGTTCCCTGCGGGTCAGAAACATATGGCTACAGCAGGGAAAACAACAGATAGAATGCTTACGGAAACTACAGCACGTATAGATCAATGAATACAGACATAGAAGAAAAGGAAGGGAAAGGAACATTTTAGAAACAAAAGGACAAGGAAAGGGAAGCGGATAAGATCGGAAAAGAGACAAGGGCACTCCAGGTTCCCTGCGGGTCAGAAATGTGGCTGCAGTAGAAAAACAACAGATAAAATGCCCCCCGGAAACTACAGCAGATATAGATCAATGAAAAAGACATAGAAGAAAAGGAAGGGCAAGGAACAATATAGAAGAAAAGGAGGAGGCATTCTAACTGTATTTCGCCTGTAAGATACCGGTCAAAACTTACATTTTCTTACCAATTTTGGCGCCGCATTCTAACTGTGTTTCTGCATATTTACAGGTGTTTCCTCAGTTAGAATGCGACTGCCGTGGGGGGGGGGCCAAACGGGCCACCATCACGCGAAGCCAAAACCGCATTCTAACTTTGTTTTTAACGGTATATATATAAATATGTATATATATATATATACATATGTATACATACACATATGTAGTAATTCGGCGAGAGCGATGGAGAGAGAGAGAGAGAGAGAGACAGCTTCAGGAATCATCCCAGCCATCATGGGAACCATGCCGCTGTAAAATGTTCAGGTCAGTGCTGCCATGGCACGGCGAGCTGCAAGCGTCTCAAGGGGACACCCTTGCCATAGCCATAGCAGATGCTCTCAACAACCTGAGGCCTTGTACAGTAAGAACGAACAGGTAGTGGTGCTTGCCTCAGGGAAATGGTTGGTGATGGTCGGCGGTCACTCATTTAAGGAAGTGTAAAAACACAATCTCCTGAAGACTTGGATCAAGGGTTCATGAAGATCATGATCTTCAGAAATAGTGCCAGCACTCATGACGTGTAAGCCGATAGGGAATAAACAACCAGTGAGTGTTACCGATCTTTTGCTCAGCCTGGCCGGGCAAGACTACATGACCAAAGCCAATCAGAACGACAACAACAGAAACAGAACCACATGTTGAAGCAAACGTGCCCAAAAACGGAATGCTTTCCAGGGAGCAAAGGCACAGAACCTGTTGTGGATTATGTATCTTGGAATTTGCTGTGACCTGTCACACGATAAGGACCAAAAAAGAAACGAAAAACGATAAGGCTACAACGAGTCATTTCAACTTTTACCCTTCGTCACTTGGGTGCTGTCCATTGCTATGACTGGCACCCAACCTGCTAAAGACCAAGGGCTTCCAACTCTCGGATGCTGATGCAAAGCAGGGAACCACGAAGCTTGTTGAAAGTCTTGTGTGGCCATGGCTAGGGTTCTGGGTGGAGAAGACTTGTGCAAGCCTGCAAGAACCCAATGAGTAATAATGTGTACTTTAGAACAGTTTGTAAGATCCATCAGACTGGCATCTATAGGCTTCGAAGGATCTCAAATTCCACATGATGCCCAGTGGCACCAGCTCAGGAAAAAGGACTTTCAGGGGTCGGAGCCATTCTTGGAAGAAGTTGCAGGGCCCTCGGGATTGAACTCTGCTTCCCCGAAGCGCCGTGTTGGCGCAGAGCAAGCACACATATCGCAGAGAACAATGGATGAACCAAGTGCGATGGATCCTGCAGGTGAACCAGCTGGTGAAGCCCAAGAAGATTCGAGTCAAGGCCGCATGGATTTTGAGATGCCTAGCATAGCTGATGAACACTGACAAGTAAGCTTTGGGCTGGCCACCCTAAGAAGGTGGGGCTCTGCCCCTGTTGGCATTTGTTGGCGATATCTTGCTTCCAGCTCGCCCTCAGCCTTAGCTGGACCTTCGGGATGGCGA